AACCGGCGAACGAAGAAGCTCCGGCCATGGAGAACAACAACTCATGCATCAATCTGGGAGGCAAGGGTTCCTCGCTTTCCTCGTCTTCCGTTTTTGCCATTGCCAATGATCTCGCCAAGCTTGGGTTCGAAAACTCCGCCCTGCAAAGGTTGGCCATTGCCGATTCTCGTTATGGAGCTTCCGTCAAGCCTTACAAGCTCGACTTCCCCAATCTGTTAACCCTAGAGGAAAAAAAGTCGGCCCTTGTTGTCATCTTCAACAACCTCCTCCTCTTCTCCGCCGCCACTGACACCATACGCTCCATCCTCCCAAATCGAATTTCATCCGCCTTGGACGACACTTCTCGACCGCTCGAAATCGATTTGACGGAGGAGGAAGTTCGTGCGGTCGAGATATTGAGGCCAATTTCTGTTCTGTATGGAGCCATTGCGCTTGTGGATCACAAGTCTTCAGCTTTATCTGCGATTGCCGACGCTGTGGCGGCGATATCATGCGAATCATCGAGATCGGATGTTTCGGCTTTCGAGTTGACGGATCCTGGAGATGGATCCGCCGACAAGGACGAAATCGGCATCGCCGCCGACGTGAAGGTGTTGCTGAATGGGTCGAAGCTGGTCGGTAAGGCGAAAAGTGAAGAAGCGGTGTCGAGAATCCCCAAAGTCCACGCCTTTTTGAGGAAGCAGTCGCGGCTGGTGCATTCGGTGGCAAGAGTGGAGTTGAAGTCCGCCGTCAAATCGGGCAGTGGCGCGGCGGAGACTGTGCGGAATTTGTTTTCGTCGTTGGCGACGGCATTGTGGGACTTTGGAAGGTACAGTTATGGCCGTGCCAAGCTGAATTTGGTTTTGGTGGTTGATGGTGATGTGAAATCGAGTTTGGTGGGTTTGTTTGAGGAGAAATGTCCGAGTGCTGATACGTTGAGAAGTGAGTCTAAGGTGGTCTCGGAATTGGTCTTTGGCGGGGAAGAGAACTATGACAGTTTAGGGCATCAAGTGAATGTCTTAGTGGGGCTTGTGTGGAAGATTGTGGCTTGGGAGGCCATTACTGCGTTTGTGGCTCTTGAAGGTGCTGAATTGAAGGAGAAGAGTCAAGATGGTGAAGTAATTAGTGTTAACAAGAAGAGTGAGAAGAAGAAGAAGGTGCTTTTGGGGAAAGGAACTAGTGTTCTAATCCAGGTGATTAAGAATAGATTAGGGAGTAAAGTGAGTGGTTCTGATGGCTCAGGAGGGTTGTTGGAGAAATGGGTTGAGGAGCTGTTGTCGTTTTTCGATCCGAAGGACTTAGAGTTTGATAATTTGTTGAGCAAAGTGAAGGAGATTGTGGAGGGCAATGAAGCTAGAAGACTTCCCAAGCCTCCAAAGGTAAACAAACAAACACTTGCTAAATGTATTTTTCATTCATTTTTTTAGAACTATGTGTTTTGTTTGAGCTGTTAAAACAGATTTGAGTTGTTGGATTTGAGTACCATGTTGAACTTGTGTATGTATATGTTGAATGTTAGGGTACTCGTGATTTTTCTAAAGAACAAATGACGGTAAGAAAGAAAGCCTTTTCAATCATAGAGGATGTTTTTGAGAAGCACGGTGCCACTGCCCTGGACACTCCGGTTTTTGAATTAAGTGATGTTCTCAAGGGAAAATACGGTGAAGATTCAAAGTTAATTTATGATCTCGCTGACCAGGTAAAGTAGATGAACTTTCGCTGGTTTCAGTTGAAACTGCATTTTTTTTTGCCAGATTTCTCAGTTTTGATTGTCAAGTACTCCCTTTTCTCTTTTTCTTTTCTTCCCCCTACATTTTCGTTTCCTTTTTCCTCGACGATTGGAGGCAATTCTGATACTTTTGTTTTTCCCTCGATTGATTTAACAGGGTGGAGAACATCTTTCTCTGCGGTATGACTTAACTGTTCCATTTGCTAGGCATATGGCTTCAAATGGTTTAACATCCTTGAAAAGGTACCAAATAGGAAAGGTTTACAGAAGAGACAACCCATCTAAAGGAAGGTATCGTGAATTTTATCAGTGTGATTTTGATATTGCTGGTCAATATGAAAGGATGGGGCCAGATTTTGAAGTTATTAAGATTTTGACTGAACTACTGGATAAACTGAACATCGGAGATTATGAGGTAAATTTTGTATAAACACCGTTTTT